TTCCCTTCCCTTCCCTTCCCTTCCCTTCCCTTCCTCCTGCATTATTGCTCCCATTCCATTATGATTCCCATTCCCAGTGCTCTCCTGCAGTCACACCTAGCAAACCAGTTCTGCTCCACCTTCTGGTCCTTGCTATCAAAAGGGGCAAATCCCCACGGTGATTGAAGGTACGGGGTGAATATGGCACAAACCAGAGCAGCAAGGTGTTTCTGGCTGGTAGGACTGGGCATGGCATGCTGCTGCACAGGATGGGAGTGGTGACCCTTGTGTCCATGGCTGGGCAGATCATCATATATATGTAGTAGTATGAAAATCACCGAAAATATCTGTAGATCTGATTTCTTGCTCATTAAAGAGAAGGTTTCTCACCATCTGCATTCCTTTGTGGTTAAGCTCAGCAGGGTCCTTTCCCCACACCTCTCAGCGAAAGGCAGTGGGTGCTGCATCCAGAGCAATTGGGTTATCAGGTAAAGGGGGATGCAGAACACTTCAGATCAGTTTTGCCACTAGATCTCCGTGGTCCTGACTTACAGGGGATTTCAGACATTAACAAGAAAAGCCGATTACACCCAAGGCAGGCCGGCAGAGCAGCCGTTCTCCTCACAGCTCTCATCTGCTGCTTCAGCTCAGCTCCTGCATCTCTGGGGGATTGATCCCAGTAAATGGACACAAGCTTGTTAACTGTAATTTTTGTTGATCCTTCAGCTGCCTAATCATGAAGATTTTTTCCTTTATTTTTCTTTCTCTCTTTTTAAGACATGTTTAAGAGTTTCACATAGAGGGGCTGAGACACAGAGCAGTCCATGATTTATCCAGCAGGACCAGCTCTGATCCTCTCTTCTAGCTAACAATTGCTCACCTTGCCTTGCAGGGATCCTAACACAGATTCTGCAAATGAAACAGAAACTTGGCTGCTCTCAAGCCAGCAGTTAGCTTTCCAAAGCCAAGATGTTACTTTATTTTTGGGGCAGTGCTCTGGTATGTTTGTGTGGTGCAGACAAGGGACTTCCCCCAGCAAGATAAAGCCTGTGCATCAGAACTCTAACTTCTCTCTATAGAACTATTATAGTGCAATTTATTTATAATAAATAAATAAATAAATAAATAAATCAATAACTTCTACCATAATGACATAAATACCTATTATGGTTATACTGTACTATAACTGGATAGTTTTATCATAGTACAATGTAGTAAAACAGTACTATGGACTATACTAATTCTTTCTGGTTACTCCTGGTTTTAACTTATTATACCTTACTAGCTAAATTTCTCTGTGTAGAGATGAGTTGAGATTAGAGCTGTGATATGTTATTTCAGCCTATAATAACTTTGCAGTTGCAGCTGGAGGTCAGTGTCTGGGAGCAGACTGCTGACACAAGCAGAGAGGTGCATTAGTGCACCTTCCCCGTGGGCTCACATGACCCTGCAGGGCCTGACACCTGCAGAGTGTCTGCAATCTGCCAGAGCATTCCTGAGGAAATCTGCACATTGCCTGGGTGGACCCACACGGATCAGAAGTGGATGGATCTGAAGCACACTTAACCACCAGCCTCTCCTAAAATGTTCTCTGATGTAGACCCTGTCTCAAAGTTTAGTCATCTGTCAGTGTCCTCAACATCTAATTAATTGAGTCTATTTAAGGTAGTTAACAAATACATAAAAGATTCTATATTCAGTTAGATAAATGCATGTACTTACCTAAAAACATCTGTTTTACTGAGAATCCAAGTCCCAGGATCCTCCACAACAGGTCTTCTGGCTTACAAGGACGAAGACAGAGGCACAACTGCTTGTCACAGGAAGGGCAGGGCTAAAGGCTGCTTATCTAAAGTGCCTGAAAGCCTGAAAGTTTGAGATAACAGCTCTGCTCCCCAAAATTGCCCTTGCTTAAAAGTGACGTAATGCATGTGGTGCTAGTGACGTTCTGTAATGTGCACTAACTAAATCTAGAAAATATAAGAGCTGATCTGGCCAAACAGGAAAAAAAACCCAAAACATTTTAGTTCCTACTGATGCAGTAAAAGGTTGAACCCGAAAGTTGAGTCTTAAGGAAATCTCTTTAAAATCCAGACTCATAAACCATTCACAGGAGACCCAATAACAATAAATTTTTTGAAGAGATTTAAGAGATTTGGGTTATATAAGTTGAAATATGGTAAACTACAAGCAAGGTTAGCACATTGTCAAGTCCTACACCCAGAAGACTTAATAAAAGGATGTAGTGGCAGATCCCCAGTTTGTCACACACACAAACAAGATCAAGGTGGTGTTTAGCATGTCTCTAGGACTGTTAGAATATTCATTTTAACAAGCTCTCCTAGCTCTGAATAAAAAGCTGGTTTCTTGGATAATGTGGAGATTTTTCTTTGTGAGGCATCCCACAATGGACTGCTCTGAAAGATAACAAAATGTTCAACATATGGAGGAAAAAAAGTTCTCAGCCTGCTGAAGATAACAAGCTTGATGAATACTTCAGCTCTTACTATTTGTGTGTCAGCTTTAGAACATCTTGAAAAACTTTGACTAGATTCCACGTCAACCAAGAATGTTCTCTCATCCCACATTTGAAATTGAGTTTGCAAACATCTCTGCTTTAGATCACAAGAGTAATTAAAAGCACTTGACCAACATTTGTACTGCAGCTATCATGAGGCTGTTATTCAGTGGTAAAGAATCTAAATTTTGTCAACATAATCTAAAAATATCATGCCTGTAGTAGTATCATTAAGTAGGATTTATTTGGGGGACTTTCAAGGGAATTTCACCGTAAGAACTGGGTTCTTGATGCTGAAGTGAAACTTTGGGTTGTATTGCAGGAACCTGCTGCTTTGCAGTGCTTTGAAAGACTATTTTGAGAACAAGGTCTCTGCTAGGATAGTTGTAGAGTCTCTTTCCTGTCTAATTTAATTTGCTTTTTAATAATTGATTAGATTAAGGAAACAATTTCATGGAACCACAGAATAGTCAGGGTGGAGGAGGCCCCTGCCCCTGCCCAACAGGCTCAGGCAGAACAGGTTTCTCAGGGCTGTATTAAGTCAGATCTTGAATATATCCAAGGCTGGAGACTCTACAACCTCTTCACTCTATTTAACTTGACTCACATTGTGCCTTATAAGAATTTTAGCTGCCCCTCCATTTACAGTGAGTTAAACAGTTAATAGTTTTTAGTCAATTAAAATGCTGCTCAGTACAGGAACAGCTGTACTTCGGCTTTTCATTAAAAGAAAGCTGAACTTCAAAGACAGTACAAAGGACCTAAAATGAGTATCCTATTCTACAGGAATGTACAATAGCTTTTGGAACCATAAGAAACTCTTCAACTATTCTGTATCATTAGTATTATTGTTCCTCTCTGGAGAATTTTCAAAGCAACCCAGTGTTTTGTGGAGAAGTGGCCAGAAGTTTGACTTTAAGCTAGGAATAAAACTTGTCTTGTGTGTGTAATCTGTCTCAAATGTTTCTTTGGGAAGGCAAGTAGACATTGCTGTAAACAGATCATGGGTTGGTTAACAATTATGTCACAGGCCTGAAAAGGTAAAGTTAGGTCAGATGGACAAACAAACATGAGCACTTCCTACAGCATAAGGAGCATGAACAACCCCCACTGAGTCTGTTTTTAGACTTGACACAAAGCCAAGGCACTTGGGAATTAGAAGCCAAAGAACACTTTCTGTCTGTAATACAGACAATTTTAAAAACTCACATCAGAATCCTGATTTTCCATGATTTGTGTGTGCAAAAAAACCCAGCACTCTACCCTACAATGGTGTAGACAAGCACCTAGGAGTTCCCTTATTTTATTACACAGCTGAGAATAGAGGATGACACCAAAACTTACACACTACAAAGCTATTGAAGAAAATCCCAAAGAAACCAAGCTTTAACCTAAAGTCACAAAATTTAATTTCAAAGCAATATGCAAACAAACGTTGCTTGCTTTCCAAGGCACAATGGTATAAACATAAAAACTGTAAATGACATATCTTTAGTACAAAAATATAAATACCGTTAAACTAAATGACAAAGCAACACATTTTTTCCCATGTAAAAACCTTAATTTAAAAAAATCAGCTTTACTCTCAGTCCTGAAATGTAATACAATAAAAATAAAAACTATTATTTTACTGCCACCTACTATGTCCCTATTATATTAGCATAAATATGAATATTCAAAACATTATACACTTTGCTGCATTACAAAAGAGAAGTTTGGCTGCTTTTTTTTCCTAATAAAACTGGTCATTACATACCTGACTCTGTGAAGTGTGATTTTATCCAGTTTGAAATGCTTTCTGAAAGACTGAATCCTTGCTGTATTACATTAGTAACTCTGACGTTAAATTATTACATTATTAAATAATCTAAAAATTAAATTCCTGAAAAAACATTCCTTCTTTAAACCTTGTATCTGAAAAACCAATGCAAAGTGAATTAAAACATTGTTTTATTGCTAGGAAATATAAAGAACTGTTCAAACTGCAAAGAACAGAGAATTGTGCCAATTTCACTTTCAAATGAGCCAACAGTGAATTTACAAAGAAAAGACAATCTATTTCCAGCTCAGCCTTTCTTAGGCAAACAAAAATACAAAGATAATCCAGGTCATACAGATTTCACATCAGTTTCCTGAACAGAATCTCAGCAGTGATTCATAAAGCTGATTCCTTGGCTGACTGAATGTGATGTAGCAGCTGATTACAATAGACTGGTGTTTGATGCTTATGTACAACCCCTTCAATTTCTCTCACCAGCAGATCTGGATATAAAATGCTTCCTTCCTTTAAAACTTCTGCAAGACAAAAATATGTTTTACAAATCAGTAGCTGTTTTGTGTTTCTCTACCCAAGTTCCCTCAAGGTAGCTGAAAGCAAACCTGGAAATTGTTCTACAAGTGATACAGTGAAGACAACACAATTCCTCTCTCCCCCATTTGCTGAGGTCTGTATTGTGACATTTGTGCTCCCCAACACAGGCTGCTATGCTAATAAATTCCAGAGAGCCCCTCCAGCAGGCTGGGATATGGTCACACCCTGCAGTGGTTGGGCTCTGTGCTCCATATCCTGTTTACCATCTATAAAGTCTCTGCTAGTTCAGCTGCCCTGCTACCTCCCCTGGGGAACACTGGGCAAAGCATTCATTGTGCACACAGGTAAAAGCTCAGAGCTCATCCACTGAAACCCAAAGGAAAGCTCCAACCTCTATGTGCTGCTTTCATCAACACTCAAAATGATGATTTAAAAACCATTGTTAAAGATATACATGACTGAAATTCTTACCTAGGACTGCTTTTTGGAGATTTTCATCGGGGTCATCGAGATGTACCAACAGTTCTTGGTACAGAAACTCAACATGACCTTCCATTGAGGATTTCACATCACTGTCCTTTAAACACTTAAACCAATTAGCCAAGGTGTGAGCAGCTGCCAGTCGGACATCACACGAGGCATCATCCAGACGCTTCAAAACCTCTGAAAAGGAGCAATGACCAAAATGCTCTGTGAACAGAGGACTTGACTTTTCCATTCGAAAAAAAGCAAATGTATTCTGTCAACATTCAAATTATTGTTACGTTTCTGACATATTTTTGTCTTTTGAGCATAATAGATACATGTAGCACACTGTTCCTAAAAGCTCCTCATTCATGGTTATTGGATGATGCTGTCCAAACATTAATAAAAGATATATACAGAAATATTTAGATTAATTGGACATTATCTAGCACTCCTTCTAACAAGAAACTATGAATGTCTATTTATGCATTACAGAACTACAGAGTTTGAATATTTCTATGCTTTATAAAGCACAGCATTTCTACTAGTTAGATATTAAATTATTAAATAATAATTATTTGAATTACTAAATTAAATATTACTGTTTCAGTGAATTACTGCACTGCAGCCTACGTGAACATGCAAAGACGTATGTGCTTTGAGAATTATCTGGCAACGTATTTCTGCAAAATAAAAATGTTTGTAGTTCGATTTCTAGTGTGTCACATAATAAAAAGTATCAGTTGTTAAGATGCTGGGTTAAGGAAGCCAAATTTATTTGTATGTATAAGAACATAAATCCTGGCACAAAGCACAGTCTGTACTTCTGATTCATGGTTTAGCACTCTAACTTCATTCTAAGAGGCATTACAACTCCTAGCTCTAATAGGCAATACAAAACTCTAGATTAGAGTTTTCTTCTTTGTGTTTATTTTTTTGTTTTAAATAAAAACCCAACTCACTACCTATTCAGGTCTATTTATGGTATACTGGAATGGTTTGCTCTTGGCTCTCAAACACAGCACGGAGAACAATGTGACTTCCATTTATACACTGCAGTACTGTTCTGCTCTCACTATACTTAGCACATTATTTCACATAGTCCAAACTCTGAAGCAATGCAGATGAGCTGCTGGCAAGCCCTGCACAGACCAAAGTATTGAATGAAGTTCCACCTAGTGGTCTGATGGATAATGACGTCGGGAATACTGCTCGGTTCTGCCAAACCCCTAAAAGTTGAGCCAACTGTGGCACTCTGGGTAAAAAAGCAAATGTAATTCTTCAGCATTGCAATCTTGATTAAAACACACAAACAAACCAACAATGCCCTTATAATGAGACTACTAAACCTTTACACATACCTGTGTAAGTGTTCTTAAATTTATCTACATCAAACTGCCTCCCACAGACTTTCAGAAAAACATCAACAATACGACAGGCCATCAGTCGAGTAATCTTGGAGTCTTCATCCATGGAAGCAATAACTTGGGGCATCAGCTCATCTTTCACTTTTAAGATCTACAGTTAATAGGAAAAGCATAGAAAAAAAGATATGCTTAGTGTTACAGCACTTACCATTAACTGTGCCAGATATTTGTTTGCTTAGTTTAAAAATTAGCTATAAATGCTACCCTGAAAATCCCTGAAGTTACAGAGCTCTAATTTTGCATCTACGTTAGCTTGGAAAATGAAAATCCACCCGTCAATCACCCAGCTCATGAACACTCAGTATACAAGCAGATGAGTTTTATGCAACTCACATGTATGCTCAAGCTTGTAAAAGCTTTAAAACTTACTCGCCTTTAAAAAAAACCAACCCGAACTGTGGCGCCTTGGAGCCAGGCGGAGCTGAGGCTCGCACAGGCACCAGCAGATGGCCCCCGACTCCAACGGGAAGCCCAGGCTGGGCTGTGCCGGGAGGTTCGCAATTTGACTTTATTCCGTCTATTTCACATCACCCAGTAATGCGAAATAGGCAGTAAGGCACCGATTCAGGAAAAAAGTGTTCAGCTAGAACAGTAGTTTATGATATCAACGTTTCTGTATATGTGAACTCAACCAGTTATGTGTGTTTAAGCAACTTGTTCAATTAAGGTCTGTTATAAAGACACTAAAGACTGTGAATATTTAATAACATTCGAATTAAATGTATTCTTTAAAAATTACCTTGTATTTAACATATTTCCAGTGCTTAATTTCCAAATGCTACTTTTGCTAGCAAAGAAGCTTCAAAGCCCCCCTCAGATTCAATTAATCCTTAATCAGGGATGGGTAACATCTCTTCAAGTGTACACTTTTCTAGCACTCCAGCCTCTACAGATATTCTTCATGTTCCTTTTCAAGTCCTCTTGTCCTTTCTTAGAATCTTTAGATGTTATTTTTTTCCCCTAAATGGACCTGTGGGCTCCAAGGCAACCAGACAACTTGTCTTTGCCACGTGACAGCCCAGCACGTCCTGGCTGGTGGCTCCAGTGCTGCTGCACAGGCTCTGCCTGCAGGCCCAGCAATGTCAAACACCCAAATTTGTTGTGCTCATAGTGGTCAGTACCTTCTGCTACAGAACTGATGATCTGTTAGAAAAAAATATCTACAAAATTTGATGCTCCTCGGTTTTACACCTCAGCATTTTGCTGGCCTCAGGTCTCTTATCAAGATGTCATCATCTCTCCACGAGTGATTGTTTCAGTCATTAACATTCAATTACAATTAATGAATTTTATTATGAAAACTCTATGTCCTTCTGAAAGTATTATGTACCCTAAGGATTTATTCTTTTTTCCCCCCCTTGCATTTATTTTGTTTTCCTGCCTAAGATTTCAAAGGATGAGAAAGAGAGAATTTACCTCTTTTGGTGAAAGCATTTCACAGTGGATAAGAGCCCAAAGGCACAATACAGCTGTAGCACGGATGGCAGCTGCTGTTCTTCCAGCATGCCACTGCAGATTAGGAGCCAGGATGTCTTTTATCACAGTCTCAAGGTAGCTAGGGAACAGCCTGAAGCCAAAAATAAGAAAGCAAAATAAAGGTTCATGAGAAAGTGATAAAGAGACTGACAGGATGTAAAAGAGATTTTTCTGTCATAGAAACATAGGCAGAAAAGGGGGAAAAAAAAGACTCTGTAAAAAAATAAATAACATAAGGCAATGTGATTGCAATGTATGTGATAAGCTTTTCACAACCTAATTCTTCTAGATAATATTTAAACAAATATCTAATATTCATAGGAAGGAGAGGCTAGGCTTTCTACCACTTCAGGCAATGACCATGACTCAGTGTTATCTTGGTAAACTACTTACCTTCTCTGGGTCTCACCTTCCCTGTCTGTGCAGTGGAGATAACACCCTGTGCAATGCTGTGAGGATTCATTAATATCTGTGAGGCCCTTTGAGACTGGCCAGTGAAAAGTATTTATAATGTGAAAAGTATGAATGCTATTGATGACACCTGAACTCCTGATACAGCAGGGAGTCTACACAGAATATTTCAGCTCTCTCTTGGCTCAGAAACTTATCTCCCCCAAAGATGAGAGGTCTGTAGGATTTTCTGATGGTGCCAGTCCCAGTACTAGGGTTTTTTTTACAAACACATAAATCTGTGATGTTTTTGCTGATGCTTTTCCCTCCTCCTCCATTGAATGGGTTGTTATAATGCTAAAAGTTGCTGTGACAATAGGCAGGATTGCCTGGCATTCATTTAGTTACAGCTCAAACAATCTCAAATTAAGAGGAAAAAATACAGATCTTACAAGTTAATTAATACTTTGCTGCATCAAAGAGACATTAGAGACTGGCTGTGGCTGGTACCTGAGGCTCTGCCTTACAGAGCAGCTGGCAGTGTGCAAACAGACTGAACCTGCCCTGACTCTGTCCCACTGTGTTCAGAGCTCTATTCAAAGTGCAGCCCCCCGAGTGCCAAAGAGCACGTCCCCACCCTGCTGCTTGGTACAAAGGGAACAGGCTCTTGTTGACTTTTCTAGGAGTCCTACACTGCCAGGGTGAATGAGTGGCTCCTTTAGTGATGGGCCAAGACACAGGAGGAACATAACAGGTCCATGTTAACAACTAACAATTACCAGTGAGTACTTTAAAAAGAATCCACGCTGCAGGTAGTCCCTGTTATCCAGGTATTACCTGACTAAATCACAAGCAGCTGCACTGCCAGGCCTCAGTTATGTGCTGACACACACCTGCAACATGATGGAAATAGATACACCTGGCTGCTGCTTCCCTTTGGCAAGCGAGCCCCTGGGCTCTGAAGAAGTCAGAGATCCATCCACTGCTGCTTCTTGTCAGCAGATGGCACTTAAGTAATAACAAGAAATCTGACATCCCATTAGACACATCTAAATCTGTATAACCCTTTAGATGTGGCATTTTAGACAGTTTTGAGCATTAATAATTTCCTGTTAAAAAGTTGTCGGAAAAAAATAGAACTAATGATAACCATCATTCCAAATCTCTCTCCAGCTCCAAAGCTAAAAGCAGCTCTGTGCTGTCTGTGCTATCTGATCAGTAGCTGCATCTGTTTTTAATAAAGCCTTCTGTTAAACTGCAGTGAGAAAACGATCTGTCAAAACACAAAGGTAAATTCCATCAGCATTATGTTAACCATGGTGCTGTGCTATTTGTGAGAATGTTTGTTCTAGTGCCTTGAAACAGAATCAGTAAAGCAATATCTGGCAATTTTCTGACTCAGTCATGTCAACTCAAACACAATTAGGTGACCACACAACTGTGTTTAGCATAATAACCAAAAGCCTTCATATCTAAACTCTGAGAACCATTTCAAGGAGCTAAACAAATTACTGACAGAAGTGAATGTGAGTGTAACTGGAACTTACTTCTACTTCCCAAGACTATCTCTCATTACTATTAACGTTTTATTTTTGGTGTTGCTGATTTAATTAAATTCTCCCTCTTTCCATTTTCAGGTCTTATTGTTGTAAATCTGTGTAACTTAATTCTAAAAGTCAGTCATTTCCATGAAAGGATATACCCTGTCTCTGCAGTTTATATTTACAGGGTTGATACTTCATTCTCAACTGGATATGAAAGAACTAAAATGTGATCTGCAGAGACATTAATACCTTGTTCTTATGCAGATGTACAAAGCAGAGCTTGGGTTTGCATTAAAATTGGTTTTATGAACTTGCATACTTAAATTTTCATTCCATGTTGATTACTTTTTATACATTTTTGTTTAGCATTAGTTCCTTTTCTGCTTTTATGACACTGCTGCACTTTGCCTTATATGTTTATGGATTGTTGTGTCTTGGTTTTCTTTGTATGTTTTTGTTTTTTGTTGTTTTTTTTTTTTAATTTAACATCCTAAACCGAGGTAATTTGAAACAAAATTGGATTGGCCTTTACAAATCAAAACCTCCAGAATGTTTTGCAACCAAAACTCTACATGTTACCTCCTACATGAAAATATTTGCTGTGTCCATGGTAAGAAGGATCAAGACTTCAAAGAGGCATTTAGCTGCTTACACTGCCTTTTAGTCTTGAAGATAAACCTACTGGTAAAATTCATGGCTTTGCTTTTGTTGTCAGAGGACAGAGCCTCATTATGAGCTGGACTGGACCATCCTTCATACAAACAGCTCTGTGACCCTCCCTGGATGTATCTCATCCTGACAAAGGCCTTTCACTCACACTGCCCTGAGCAAAACAACTTCCATCGCTGCTGTGTGCAGAGCTGGGGTGGTGTATGGCCATACTCACTGAATTACTTTGAAACATTCTTCTGGCTTTTGCACACTGATAATTTCTCTTTCCTGAGAATATTAATGAAGCTGGCAGCTCATTGGGTTGGGTTTCTTGGCTCCAAGGGCTTTGCATTCTCAGTTAGATGATACAAATTTCTCACAAGATGGCTATGAGAAAATTTAAAAAAAAAACCAAACAACCCCCACTCCCAATTCTTTTCATAAGAATCTCCCTTTTAGCTTTCAAACAAGTACTCTTTTCAACCACAGCTCTTCAATTTTTTGGAAAACTATCCCCATCTCCATGACATTCCTTTTAGTTCCCAGTAATGGCACAGGTAGGAAAACTACAGCGGAGGAAGTCAAGACTTCCATTTATTTATATTTTATATTTTTTTAAATTATTACACTCTACCCTCCTAATAATTGTTAAAAATTTCAGCAAGAAAAATAGGCTGTAGAAGATGGTGGGAAAGTCTTTCCTCTTCCAGCCATGCTCACATGGAGATGGTTATAGGGGTTAAATAACTCCCATGGTCATTACTTCTTAATGCCACTGGAGCTTTCAAATAGCTGTGTGAAATCAGACCTCCACTTACCCCTGAGAATTGATGGTTTCACTTGCTTTCTGCAACAACTGGGATAAAACAGTAAAAAGCTTTAGCCTCATCTGGGGATCTCTGTTTGGCTGGAGACACGTCTTCAGAATGAGAATAAAGTCATCCAGAGCTTCACCTATGACAGCACCTAGCAAACAAACACAGGAAGCTTTTTTCAGAATCCTGGGAAGCTCTGCTTAGATGTTTCACATGTAGGTGCATCACCATTTCTAATATAAGTGGTGTTAAAATAGTCCTTAGCTTCCCACTCTTGCACAGCAGCTGTTGAGGTATCCATGTGACACTGTATTAGGTGGTGCACAAATCCCCAGGCTCACTCCCCATGGCTCAGGTACCCCCAGTTTTGGCCAGGGCAGCCTGAAGATCAGGTCCCCACATCTCATTTAGTCAGCTTGACATAGCTGTACCACATTTGCCCAGACAAGCTGTGGTTGCCCCATCCAAAGCCAGGTTGGATGGAGCTCAGAGCAACCTGGGATAGTGGAAGGTGTTCCTGCCCATGGCAGGGAGTTGAAACTTGATGGTTTTTAAGGCTCCTTCCAACCCAAGTCATTCTATAATTTCGTGACTTTGGAATGGATCTATCCATGACACCCCAGAGTTGCTGGGACCATCAGTACCAGAGGGCATTTTGGCTGGAGGGTTAATGCTGTTCCCTTGTAACTCTGCAAAGCTGAGGCTATGCACAAAGCTTTGGTTTTCTTAAACTTAATGAAAAACTACACTACATCTGGCATGACCCTGACACCTCTGAACACAGCAGCATTAACTACACTTTCTTCTTCTTTCAAGTTTTTCCACATGCAGCATTTGAGATGTTCATGACTCCCAGAGGCATAGGAAAGGGCCTGTTTAAAAGGATCAGCTTCAAAACTTGGATAATACAATTACTGCAGCAGCATTCCTTCTCCCTGTTTAAATAATGCTTATTTTCATCTTATAAGATAATCTAAAATATGATGTATTTTAGAAGCTATTTGAAATAAAAATATCTTATAAATTAACCCTTTAGTTTATTATTTTCACATTCTATGATGAATTTAAACAATAAACAAACAAACAAAACTCTAAGCTGTTATCCCAGCATGTTAAGAAGTTATTTTCCCACAACTGAAAGAAATTTGTGTCTTTCTCCTTGATAATGACTAACATCTGCCTGCTTTTAAAGAGGAAGAGTACATTAAGACTGTACACATGCTTTATTCTGCAAGCTTCTTGCTGTAGAATGCTCTTTCTGCTCCATTTTTGCAATAAACTGCTTTCCTTTAGGAACTTTGTCGCTTTGCATCCTTAAGATGCACATTCCATTCAACTCCACTAACTCAAAATCCTTCCAGAGGAGACATCACACTGATATTTATGATGACAAGAATATTCCTCACACATAGGATGGACATATTGAAGTATTCAAGATTCCAAAACAAGCTCAATAGCATTTAATAATATCTGGAAATTTAATGTTTAAAATAATAATGAAAAAACCCAAATCTTCACTGTCTAGACTGAAGCAATACAGGGTGTTGAACTGCAGTTTGCTAAATGTCTGTGCCAACAAATAGGTCTTTATTTTCACAGCATTTATTCAAGATACATTGCTTCATGTGAGTTCTGAGACATTCACAAGATACTACTACTATATCAAACTGATAACAGCAAATTCAACAGATGGAAAATAAACAAAATAAACGACATTGCTAATTTCAGCTTAAGCATACGCTCCTGAAAAACAGCAAAAACTGAGAAATATTAATTGAGTAAAGCTGATTAAATTGATTTAAAACAACATTATGTGTGGGAATGAAAAGAAAGAAAAAAAAAATCTCTAAGAGCTGCTGTGTCAGACAGAAAACACAGACAATAGCATATTACCAGTGTTGGGTGCAAGCCAAAATGTTTGCCCAGACATTGGATGATTTATTTAGCATTAAGGAAAACAGAGACAACTGTCTAGAAGTCCCTCAGTCATGGAAATGGGAGCACAAATATACAGAAAAGTTGGCCTCTCAAATCTTGCACTGAAGTAACTTTTTGTTCTTTCCACAGATGAATATCAAAAAAAGTACTTCTGCTGGTTGCTGCACAAACCAACAAGTGGGTTCCTCACATAGGTTTGATGAGGGTGTCTTTGAGATTCTAAGATTAAATGCAGAAGATCCATTCCTTTAAAATATGCTTGTCCACATCTATGTGCAGTAGCCACAGTGATATGCACTTCATGAAGTGACTGTCCCCATCCCCCTCACAACCAACAGAAAGGAAAAAACAAAGAAGCAGGACTTTTCATTTTAAAATGGGTGTCTAGGTGAAAAGCACTGCCTGTCACCGTGTGCCTTGCTGCAGATGCCATCTGGGGAGCTGTGGCAGAGGAGTGCTCACTGTGCAGGGCTGCAGGTGTGTGAGATGTGAACCAGAGTGTGTCACTCACCTCTGCACAGCCACGTGCTGGACAGCAACAGTGAGGAAGTGTTTGTTAGAGAGATGTGGTGTCCTCTGAAAGACTAGTGAATAGATGGAATAAAAAGGTGGATTTTTGAACACAAGCTACATTCAGTTTGTCTCCCCTTAATCCTCACCTATTTCATTCACCTGAAAGTGCACTTTTCCTTAAGTGCTTCTAGCATTCTCCCTGCAGCCACGGAATCTTTGGGAATATGAGCTGCTTCAACATTTCTTTTGCTTTCCATCATGTTCTTGTGAAGGTTCTGAATATTACACTGTTCATTACAAAACACAAGCTGTCTGCAGGCTGTGGAGATTCTGACTGGATTTTTTTTTAGAACTAAATAATTCGTACCTGAATGGGTTGCGATGACCTCGAGCTGCAACACTTCTGGGGAATAGCAAGTCCACCCTTCACACGACACTGAAACCCAGTCCAGCAGCTGGATTATGTGCTGCTTGTAGAGACAATGAAAACTTTCCAGTTGCTGCACTTCAGCTAATGAAGACATTGTTATCTCCACCTGTTAGAACAGAGACACGATACTTAACAGAAACCATTAAAAAAAACCCCCAAACCTTTAAAACTCATTCTGTAAGAACAGACAGGGAAGATTTTCATAGTTTCTATTAAACAATCAAGGCTGATATTTAATATCTGCCTATACTACATCCATTAACTTTTATTTGAAGAGAAACATTTGTCCTGATTTCAAAATGAAATCATCAGGAACACAGCAACCTAATGGCAAAATGAGTCTCTCTAATCCATGTGCAGACTCATCCAAAAAAATAACCACATCATAAAACAGGCTCTTAGTGGTTTTAAAGATGTAGTGATTTTTCTCCTTAATTTAAGAATGCTTTAAAACATAAACATGGGGGGAATTTCTCACAATCCCAAGCCATGGCAGCTTCCAGAAACTATTGCTGTTGCAGGTAAGAGAAGACATGGCATTTCTGCTCTTCCCTTTCTCCCCCCAGTTTTAATTATGAAAGATCCCCTCTTTCTGTAGTAGCTCATTTTGAAGTTCCCAGTTTCTTAGAAGTTGCTTAGAAGTACCAAAACTCACTGTTACATCAGAAATACCTTCGTCATATTTAAAGATTATTCCATAAGACATGCAAATAAAACATGTACAAATGAAACATGTAAGAAGAACTACTAAATGAATTCCAGACATGAGCATGCTTGGCAAGGATGCCTACAGATTTTCCTAATCACTTGAAGCAGATGTGTTTCAAAGCAAATGAAAATTTGCTTTTACAGTTCCTGAAGGCTCCTACCAGAAGTATAAAACTTCTCCAAGGAAGAGATGAAAAGTGTGCTGGAAGCAGGATCTGTAGTCTTGGTGATTTCAGTAGACTGTGAATCAAGAATGGGGAGCAAGGCACCGTTAGGAACCTCACAAAGGAATAACATGTGCTGCCAGCAGGGCCAGTTCCAGCAGGGAAAGATGGAGTGCAGTGCTGGGAGTGACATCATTTGACTCCAAGTGCTTCAGTAGAACTACAAATTGTACTCATATTTTTAATATTTTTAAGCTGAACTCAACCACACAAGTTAGCTCAAACATGTCTAGGACCTTTAGACTCTTCCAGACTAATCACTCGCCAGACAAAGATGTTTTTATGGAAGTACCAGATGTGGAGAAAATAAAAGAGAATTATAAGAAAAAAAAAAATTAGGATTGGTTAAGGACAAAGGTTACTCCTAAAGCAGGTTTGCCTGCCTCAAGCACAATAGATTTCTCCTTTATGGAAGCATTCTGCCAGACAGTCAAAACAACTCAGATGAATATTTTACATATAAGTTACTTGTAAACTGGAACAATTTAAGAATGTGTCAGGACAGAAACTATTCCTCAGTATTAATCCCACCATAACACACAACACAGACTATTTTTTTCCCATTGAACAAGAGGTACAAAATAATACATTGCTCACATGATTTAAAGTAAATTCTGTGGTTTCAAGAATGCAATTAAAAAAAAAAGAAAGAATAACTTAAATATGCTAGCAGATTGATGCATATTTTCTCATTAAGCAGTGTCTCACAGTTAAATAAAAATAAATAGCAAAGGTGATTTTCTTTCCTCTAACAAGCTAACAAGTTTAACGACACAATATTTTCCTGCTAAGAATCAGTGTGCTGAAAGAAGAGCCAGGATAGCACAGGGCACTGGTAATGAAGCAAAACCTTATCTTTAGGTCACCAGTTAAATCCCTGACAAGCTCAAATCATGCCTAACAGTCTCTACAACTCTTTGGGGCTGTGCCCCACCCTCCTCCTCGTGCCTCTGCTGTGCTCAGCTGCTGGTCCTGGTCCATTCCCTCAGCCCCAAACAAACACAAACATGATGGACACAAAGCCAAAAATCAGGCCAGACCTGAGTGCTCCCCACTAGGTCACAGCAGTTGTGGTCTCCACTATCTCAGTGGTCTTCTGTCTCCTGACAATAAAGCCTGAATTAAAGTTCTAGAATGCAACTTTTTGAATAACTTATGTTTATACTCAAAATCTTTTGAGTGTGAATACAGATTTATTTTCTGAACAAAAAGTTCATACTCGTACAGCAGCTGTGATACTTTTGTTCTATGTTCCTAAGCTATTTTAACAGGGACTTCTTGCTTCTCCAAGCTGTACAGCTCACTTAGAAGTTTTGGAATAATCAGTAACTGGAGAAAAAAATAAAATTCAAGCCATATTTGTCTTTGTGACAATTTTGAAATATTGCAATTATGTAATCTCACTGCCAGATTTTGTATGTATCTAGCTGAAAGAAAGGCTAATGAGAAAAAGGATTCTCATCCAAAGTACTGTCAACTTAAAAAATCATCTGGAACTGCAGGAACATCTTAAACCTTTAATAATCTCAGGAGATTAAGTTTTCCATTTATGAAAATCAGGATTTATCTCCATGAAACCGCTGTCTTCGTAGGAGTATGAAGTTGTAAGGTTTTAAATGGACATTGCTGACTTTATAGACCACTGCAGGGATAAACAGGCAAGATACCACAAAACATTCCAGATCCATCTGCCTAAGGCTTACCTGGACCGATTTTTGTCTCAAAAAACCCCCCAAGCAAACAAATAAAAACTCCAACCCCTCCCCAATCCCACTCTCCATAAGACAGATCATCATCCCACCCCTATTTGACCTGCAAAGTCTTTTCAATACTTGTTTCAAGCTTTGTTCCACTTTATTTCTCTCCAAAGAGCTTTCTGAGCAAACGCCTCCTCGGAGGCAGCCTGTCAGCTCTGGGGCCATAAATACTGATGCTACACAGACCTTTGGAATAGCATGCCTGGGAGCAAGAGGAAAGGAAGTAGAATAGCCACTGCACTTAAGGTGTGTGTTTGAAAAAAGACAACTGGGATAGGTTATAATTGTACTGCATAAGGATGGCTCGCTGATTTATATGATATTTAGCTCAGGAAGAAAGAGGAAGAGAAAAATAAGGGGGTGAGATAATGCTGAGCCAAAAAAGCTCATCTATTATCTGGGCATGTACAGCTGTCCTCGATTTTAAAGCATTCCTGTGATATTTAAACTTTTGTTTCTTGTGGGGAGGTAAAAAGGTCAACTACTGTAAAATCAGTCTGATATTTGGCTAAAGATGAAAAAATCACTATGAAAGCATCACATTTGAAGGCTAGTAGTACTCTTGACCTCTAAGTAAATTGTTCCTTAACAGTCAGAAAATAAGTTTCATTTTTTTTCTGCATATAACCAAACATTCACAATGACTTATATCCATAAAAAGTAAACATCAACAGTTCAACCAGCACCACCAGCATGCCCAAGGCTTTGAGAATACAGTACAAACATAAAATCTTGGACACTTCTTGTTCTGAAACTTTACCTAACAGTGGACAGGTGGTTAATACCCACCCAAATAAAGTGCTCTATTAGGCCCATGGCTGTCCTCACCCAGCTCCAAGATTCCCATGCTACAGTAATGCATCTCAAGTCATCTATTCTGAAAGCTAACTCAAACACACTTACAGAAAAAGAAAGTTATAGCTGTAACTGCAGCTACAGACCCATACTAGATGCTTCTGACCACAAAATAAAACTGATTTCCATGGCCTTTTCTGGAACCAGAATGTATTTTAACTCTATAAGCTTTTAATCAAAGTTATGAAGAAACATAATTCTCCAGGCTCTGCTGTTCCGAACTGTAAACTCAATTCCAGATTTAATTCTGGTACTAACCATGTACAGTCTGTGCTGTCTGAGATGCACAATCTCAGACTAGCCACAAATATTCCCCACAAATAATTATGGCTCTATTTCCATAATATAGATTTTCCACTTTTTCACACAAAGTGTCTTATCAATTAGGAAAAGACAAGAACACAACAAAATATTAAACCAGCTGATAGTTTACCTTTTCTTTAAGGTCCTGAGATGGTATTGCCATTATGGTCACCAAAACTTTCATGAGCTGCAAGCTAATTTCTTTGCAGTCTTCCTGGCATACTTCAATCAATGCTTGTGTACAATAAAGCAGCTGCTCCATATAAAAGACCTATTTAATAATAAAAGCACATATTTATTATGTTTTCTTAGCAAAAAAAAAGTTTTCTTTAAAGAAGAGATATAGGAAATTACAGTAATAAAATCTGAGCACTGTATAATCCCTTACACTGGTAACATATTGGTGATTTCATGTTAGTTCTTCTAATTGCCCATATTCTACTTTTCATATAATACAATATCATCTTCCTCCTACACTGTTTGTGTTTACCTTGTCCTGTTAACAAACTAAATGACCCTGCTCTTAATCACACAACGGTTCCACTGGTGAATGGTGAATAAAAACATCAAAGCATTTTGGAGTGCTTGCTGATAGTACTTTCTCTTTCTGAAGTGCAATTTGTTAATTAATAACATATTTGTTACAACTCTTTGAAATATTATTCCATGTTTGACTGTTTTGGATGAACAATGGCAGCTAAATACATAAACCAAAAAAAACCTGAGCCTTAGCTTTTATCTCAGCTAATTTATCTCATTTGATGCCATATAATTCATGTTATCTTGATCCAACTGATACCAGTTCAAGTCAATACTGTTTTCAGCAAGTTTGCCATGACTTCTATGATAAAGTGCATCAGATATCCATGAATCTGTCCAGGAACAGAAGGGGCCATTGTTACGAATTTACTCCCAAAAAATAAATCAAGTCTAGGAATAGGTTAGCTGTAAGTGTTATTAATCTCATGGACATGGTCAATCCTTAGCTAAACAGTGTCTGTGCAGCATTTGCTGGCTAAAATAGTGAGAGATTGTTTTCCAAGACTAAAGGCTGGAACAATTCTGCCAAACTTTCAACTGCAGATGGAGCTGACTCCTGCAGCTAATGCCAAATGGAAGTGGTAAGCTTAAACCTCATAGCAATTTTGCAGCTATACCTCAGGGAATTGTTATTTGAACAATCAGGTTATAGTGCTTCCACTTTTATGAGCTCCTAATCATCAGAGGCTTCATGGAGATTAAGGTTAATTCCTGCATCACTGGTACATATTCCATTAGAGAAGAAACCTAATGAGGGAAGAACTTGAAATGTATTTCTTACATTGGCTCAAAAAGACAATTAGGCCAGATTCAGTATGCACACATGAATAACTGTTTTAAGGGAAGCCTACATCTGACATGAAGTCAGAGTTCCTCAAGGCACAGCACTGGCCCTTTTTTGGTCATCTTAACAACATCTAACAAACTTCTAGTGGAATGAAAGCCAGGATTTCATTTGTGGGGAAAACTATAGGGATTCCTCTTGTGCATCTCTAACATCTATTTTTACATTTGAACATGGGAAGGAAAACAAATCCTGCAGGTTAAAAAATATCCATTCTGTCTTTAAGAGAATCTCTCATCTCCTTATATAGCAACTGATGGATATTCTTCAAATGCTAAAATAAAAATGGTCTTTGGGCTCAGCTATTACCTAAGGATACACTTGATACAATTGATAAAGGTCTTCCTTCTAGACTTTCACTTAAAGAGAAGTAACCAAGCCCAAAGGTTTACAAAACACGCTCCTAAAATATACACATAAAATACTGGTACCTGCTGTTTAAAATAGAAAATAAGAATGTAAAAAAAAAAAAAATCAGGTAACATTAAGAGGGAATCTTGGGAAACCTGACATGCCAATTACAATAGACTATAAAAAATTTTCAGTCATTTTTACAGATGAGGATTGAAATGCATGATCTTGTCTGGATTGTGAACACAAGGAATTTCAAAACGGGTTAAACTTTGCCTCAGGACCAGCCAGGGTAGTCCCTTGTTAGTACAGTACTTATTAACAGCTGCTTCTCTCCCTGCCTTGTGTCTTCATTTTCTTACCACTACACGAAGTCTTTTACAGCAGCTCTCAAACCTGAACCTACCTCTGCAGAGAGGATGGACTGTTGTTGGTAAGTTTTTGAAAGCAGCAGATTTTCCCAGGATACCACAACACGGCCCAGGAAGAATGGGGAAGCTCCTAATTTGTCTCAGACATGTCCACAACTATACCCTGAGACAGGTGTGCAAGGGAGGGATAGGAATGGCATTTAAGGAGAATAAGTGAAAAAGTAATTTGGTCAAAGCCTGTATCCTGCTGTGTGTTTTGCAGCTTTCCTTACCTCTTCAGATCGCTGACAGACTCCAGCCTGTGACAGTGTGTGGCCAAGCTGGGTCACATGGGGCTGTAAGATTTCTTTTGGGCTACCTCGGATCACTGCAGCCAGAACCATCACACAGGATGCTTTGGGTGTCTGCTCAAAGGCTGGGGTGATTAATTTCAAAGAAACCTTAGGGCTGACAAACGTTCCAATCAATTCTGCTGCTTTCACACTCTGAAAAAAGAACAGGAAAAACTTGAGGATTTTCTTGAAAAACAAAGATCATTCAAGGTATCATGGCCTTTTTCTTTTAATGATTCCAGCTGTTATTTTAAATGCTTCAGCAGTTGCTTTGTAGGCCTTTTCCACTCGCTCAGTAATGATTATATGCATGAAGAAATTTTCTTGACATGTTCAGTAAGCACATAATAAGGCATTGCAAGCAGCTTTCCCCACGTCGGACAAACTTCCATGAGAAAGCAGTGCACAGAAACAGAGTGTACAACTTCACTGTAATAAAGTTTCCAATTTAGAGTGACCAGATGTTGTACATTTAATGGTTTAGCACTTCGTCCCTCAAATGCTGTTCTGAGGCTTGCCCTCAATGCATCACCCCCTTTTTAGTAAAAGCTGTAACTATAAAATCCTGAAGGAGGAATTTTTTGTTGTTGTACTATACCTTGAAGCTGACATTACAGATCCAGTTAAGTGTGGAAGCAATGCCATGAGGGAACTGCCCACTGCTTTCCATCTTACTTCTCTAACTGAAAGGATTAAATTACTGTGTATTCCCTGTGACAGTGGCACCCTTGGATCCCATTCCTGCCTTGCAGACATAGCAGGATGTTGTATTCCACATGAAATTCCACCAGGGCTGACTGCCTGACTGATGCCCAGTGTTTACAGTCATGTGCATGAATAAAGACACAATCAGCTACTGCAGCACTACCTGTGCAACAGTAACACTTCTTCCAATGGCATGGATTTAAGGGTTGGCTCATTTCCCCAAAGATGAAAGCTTATCTCTCTATCATTTATAGTCTAGTGATTTTTTGGTTAGGTATGACTTTTTTTGCACCTAATCAATAGTTGAATCATGCTAGTTTTTTGAATCTCAATGGAAGCACATAGCCATGAGTTCTACAGTTTAAATCTGCACTGTATAGAGCTGTTTCTTTTCACAAGGATAGGACTTAAAGGAGTTGTAACATCCTCTGTGTAGCTGTGAACTCCATTCTCCTCCACATTTGCCATAAAGAAAAAGACACTTTGTGCTCTGAAAACTGTACAATACAATTAAAGAGCACAAAAATATGATTTGATACATTTATACTGATCAGTTTACCCACATTAACAGGGAAAAAAAATGGAAAGGGTCTCATTTGGTATTTCTAGACTTGAGAAAGACAGGGACATTTTCCAGGTTGGTAGCTGCTCTGAAATGGGTTTCTACAGTGACAAACTAGAGGAGGTTATCACATTACCTTGAGAATCTGCATCACTAAGAGATAAAAGGCATTCAAAACAAAAAGTTGCTGAATCTTATGTTTGGCACAAAGAAAAGTAGAATTAAATATTGAAATAATCTCTTAACTGGGAATAAATCTCTTGGAAACACCTGTGAGAAGATTAGTGGTGGAATTCCAAGAAAGAGAAAAGTATGGTAAATAAAAGGCAAGGACAGCTATGTGCTGCTTGAACACATACTTCTGAATTTAGATTTATTGCAATAAGCACTTGAAAGGAAAATTGACAGGACAGCAGGGCAACATGGCCTTATTTTCCTAATTATTGATGCTTTCTTATAGCCCAGCTGAGAGCAGGGCTAAGAAGAGCCTGATTTAGGGTTGACTATCTGCATTCAGTAAGCAGAACACATTCTTCCATTTCCCAAAGCAATAAAATTTGTAACTTTAGAGTAAGTTACATGGATATATTTTTGTTATACATATGTTCTCTTCCTTGTGTAGAAACAGAAACAGAAGATTTTATCTTAAAATTGTAAAAGCATTTCTACCACCTGTCTTTCTTTTGCTAAATTTATCTCATGTCTTCAACTGCATTTGTTTTACTGATTTGTAGATCAAAGTGTTAAAAGAATTGACTGTTAGTAAAAATGAAACTAATTATTCTTCACAATGCCCCCCCCACATTTTCCAAGCATTAAGTCAAGGATTCAAACATGGAATATGGGCATCACATGGAATAAACATACCTCAGTATATGGTTGGATTATGGAGCAGGAGGAGGTAAGTGAAATTAACTTGAAAGGGCATGACCTGCACATTTTTTTACATTGAATTTGTTGCCCCAAGGCTTTTACACTTTAATCCACTTCTTATAATTTTCAGAGATTATTATCAATGCTTCATGGGGTTGGCATACAAACTAAACAGTATCTAGATAACTTTTCTATTGATCTTCATACCAATAATAGAGGAATACATTTATTTTAACAGATTAGTGAAGTATAATGTGCACATGTTTTTAACATCCATATAAACCTGAGCCTGATCCTTCAGTCATGGGCAATTTCCAGTGACCTAAGGTAAAGTCAACCTTCAGAAGACAGACTGAAGACTATAATGTCTTTATTCAGTGTACAACAGCTACTTTAACAGATCAAACTTACGTTTTTAACCACTTCACTTTCTTCATCTGAGCACGCTTGGTACAAAGTTCTCAGCAGTAGCTCCATGTGTTGGGTGATGTGATCCTCTGCATGCAGCAATAATGTGTACAGGAGTTGGGATGCTTTGATCCTTGTGCTTTCAACCCAGTCTGTTATATCATGACAGAGACCTGGCAGAATTTTGGAGAGGTTTCTTGACACAAGTTCCCGACAACCCAGTCCTGGTCGAGTCTCTAGAAGAAAGAAAAACAACCCAAAAAGAAATATCAAAGGAAAAGCCAATGCATAACAATCCTCAGAAAAGTTTAAAAGCTGCAAGGTAAGAGCTTTGGGTGTCTGCTTCAGCATAGAATAAAATATTCCAAATGCTGCTGAGGAATTTACCTGTGCAAGTTGCATTACTTTAATATATATTGCAGAATTAAAACTCCACACAGCTCTTTGAATATTTATGTATTTATTACTGGATGGTGATTTAGATTTCATGTTTCAAAATGTTTACAGAAGGAGAAGAGAAAGATAATTGAAATGAGTGTGTGTCTTTACCCACTTTGGAAAACATAGCTCAATAAATCCCTTTTAATTTTGATAGCAACACAAATCCCATGAAAAACAAATGGAAACACACACAGATAAACAGAAGAAAGTCTTCTGCATGCAAACGCTGAGTTAAATATAATTTGGAGGAGGAAAGAAGGTAGAAGGTACAAGCAGTGCAGAGGACATGAGCTGCAGTAAAACAGACAATGCCAATTGTGCCCTCTAAAGGAAAAGGTTAAAAGTGTATCTGGCAAATTGAAGGCAGAAAGGGCACAGAACTATGACTTGTACAGATGCTGTGTAATAGATCAGGCCAACAAATTGATAGTGTTTTAAAAATCACAGCTATTATATAAGCTGCTTTCTAAGGCTCTTCCAGGAAAAGCAGCTCACTGAAGTGCCTCTTCAATGTTTCAAAAATTTAATAATACATTTTAAATGATGACACAGGAGTTGGGGATATTTTTTTTTCTTAAGACCGAATTTTATTTGTAATAACTTTGTGAAAGTTAGTTTTTGTGGCTATCTTTTGATTTCAAACAGAACCCCAAAGTGCTACAAATATATATTCACTGCCTCAAAAAAGGATGTGGATTTCTGGAGAACTAATAAACTTACCTTTCCCTGCTGTCTTGGTAATCTTAAAATTTATCTGTTAGTTAATTTATAAATCACTGAAATTCAGAAGAATAACTTGACCAATGTCACAAGCATCTAACAAATGTCCTATTCTGTACAGATAAAGCTGTGACAGTCCTTTCCAAAAAACAGCAATAAACTTCTTCAGTGATTTTTTTTTCCTACAGGCTATTTCCTTTTCTTAACACTGAGTATGTTTATACAAACAAAATCTGAAAAGTTGTTCTTTGAGAAGCACGATTTCAGAATTGCCACTCACAATGTTCACATGATGTTTTAAGAAAGAGACATCATTCATTATGAGGTATCAAAATACATTGAATGTGTGAGTGCATTTTTTATTTCTGATACAGAGTTCCCCTGTAAATGCTCTGGACAAAAATGACTGAGCTGTCTCAGGATATTTTCCTGCACTGGCCTGTGTAACTACAAATGCTAAAAGGAAAACTGACTAAAGTAAATGGTCTGAGGACACAAAAGACTTAGAAATACCTATGAAATACCTAACTCAGAAAAAAAAATAAAATTCAAGCATCAGGACATGAATTGCTGCTTCTTTTGTCAATGGAGGAAACATTCTGGATTATGAAAGCTGACAATGAGTAGTGAAAGGTCAAACAAAGAAATCAACTTGAGACAGAAAATACAGACTGGCATCCTATTCGACCCGAGGCAGAATTTTGTTTGAAGAATTTGGACCATTCTTTATCAGCAATTCCTCCATTTCAGATGTTCAAATGCAGGCATTTATCCCTGTAGCTACTCCTGTCAAAGACTTCCCTGCTATAAACTGTCTGCACCTGTATCCTGAGGCAATGAGTGCTGAGGCTCAGTGTAAGCTGTGCAGTTGCCTGGATGACACCAGGTCTCTCTCTGGTCCCCCTCTGACCTGCAGGATCTGTCACTGGGAGATCAAAGCAGGGGCTCCTGTGGCAGGTCCATTAGTCTGACAGCTGGACAAAGCTACTTAAGTAAAACGTCCTACAGACTCACAGTTAGAAAAAAATGTTCCAGTACACTAAAGTCACATGCAATGGCAACAAAGTACTAAAATACATCATTACCACATTAAAAAAAACAACAATCTAACACAAAAACCCCTCTCAAAAAAATCAAACCAACTAAATGGTCGTGGAGAGCAAACAGAAAGGACATATATAATAACAATCATCCATACACAGTCTGTGGCAGGACACCACATAAGGTATATTAGTGTCTCTGATAAAGCTTTGTCTCTGTACGATTAAGCAGCCAATCTTCCTTTCCTCTGATTTTTCTTCTATTTGTCACATCAAGCCTAACTATCAATAAGGCATTTAACTTGGAAGTAAAGATAAACAGCAAGAAATGATACCTAAAAGTCACCCTTAACGTGGGACTCAAGTCCAAAATTATCAGGCCATTTCTTTAAAATATTCTTTAGTTACCTGTGCACATATACATAAATACACACATATATGTCACAGACAAGCCTTAACTGCATTGTTCTACCAAGAAAAATCCATGAAAATTCAATTTAATGTGGGGCTGGAATGCTGCCCAAATTCACGAAGCATATTTATTGTGCCAAGATTATTTGGGAGATCACATATCATTTAATTATCAAGTAATTGGTAGATGTCACTTTCTAAAAAGCCCCACCAAAACAGCTTACACACACAAACCCCAATACACACCTAGACAAAAGTGACCAAGGTAACCCCATCAGCTGTACAAATGGTAATCACTGTTCCAAGGACAGTGAAATTAAACCTTTTATGACCTTCATTAAATCACGGTCATTGCAAAGTAAATGACTGGAGCTTAGACACTCAACTTCATCAGTTTATGTCTGTCAAAAGATTCTCTGACTGTCAGGAGAAGAAATATGTTTCTGCCATGACTAGTGGAAGCAAAAGCGTTCTTTAGCATTTCCAAACCCCTGAGGTAAAATTATATATAAAATAAGGAGGAAAGAAAAAAGATTGGGATGGATGACAGATCAACTTGCCTGCCTTCAAAGCTAAACAGTTCTGTCAAACCAGTCACCATTATGAAGCGCTTCCCCTTTCATTCAAGCATTACTGAGTAAAACAACTTTAAAGTAAAAAAAAAAAAAAAAAAGAATTGTAATTTAAAAGAAGAAAGAACTCCGGAACCCACTGTCATGGAAAGGATTTTGCTGCTGGGTATTGGGTGATGTGATTGTCATGTAGGCACAAGTCAAGCATGAACCTGCTCTTTCACACCAAAAGAGTTTTTGTTCAGTTAAATATGAGTATAGAAATCAATAAATGAGCCAGTTAAACTCTCTCTTCCCCCAACTCCCATTTTAAGTTTTAAACATTAACTTTGTGAACCAAGACAGGAAACAAGCTTCAAGCTACTGCAAACACAATGTTTGAAAGCCACCTATAAATCATACAGTACCAAAAAGCAAACTACCCATTCTGCATATCTTGGAGGTTTTGTGTATAATAAAGGAAATTACTCTGTTCCCACATTCTTCATGTACACTGGCAGATTTTGGGTAGCATCCCAGTGTCTCACAGAGAAGTCTGAAATAATTTCATTGCAAATTTTTCTTCCACACCAATTATGTGGATCATTAATGCTGTGACCTGCACTCATTATTCAAGGACTTAGCTCATGGGTTCTTTCCTCTTTCCTTCCTTTCCAGTCATTTCTGTGCCCACTGTGCACCTGGCTGCTGGTTGATGTAGAACTTACTGCTGTTTCTGCACCACTGCTTTACCTTTTTTTTCAGCATAGGCAGCCTCATTTACTTTCTCCAAAATGAATTTTTGGATTAACAAAAAAAAAAAAAAAAAGAATGAGGTTACTGAACAATCATTTTTAAAAATTTAAATTTAATAGAAATAATTAAAGTAATTTAATATATATTTTATATGTGCTACATCTCTACATTAATATTACATATTGTAATAAATATTAAACATCCTGCTCTACTGTCAGTATTGCACTACAGCTTTTGGAGATTATTCACGAAGCAAAAACCACTTTCAGCACAACATTTACCTCCTTTGGGATAATGAGATGGTGAAACACTAAAATCCATCTTATCCTTCAAATCTTCTTCATTCTCTTTCTCCCATTGCAAGCCTATCTTTTCCCAGTAGGTCCAAGCCAGTTTCCTAGATAAAAAATAAGAGTTTTATACCACCATTCCCCCAGATACAAACATTTTAAAATGAGACTTCTGGAAAAGCTGACTACTTGAATTCAGCTGGAAGGATGGGAAGCATTCCTGCCATTTAACCTAGGCACATTAAGTTGAGAGTTTATATTTCTTTTGTACTCAGTGGCCAGAGGCCTCTTCTCCCAAGGGATAATTCTGTCTCTGTCCACCCTTGTCTTTGTCTCTCTCACATTTAATTGAATGTAGCATAAAATGACAGTATTACAAAAGTTACTGAAGATAATACTAAAATTTTAAGTCCAAGTAAAAACAAAAAAAACCTAACTAACAGAAGTGGGGGTTTTGTCCTCCAAACAAGACATCTGTGAACTTAGGAACACTTCTCTGACACCTATTTAAGGTGGGGGGGGGGAAGACAAAACATTCCACTTACATATTTTCAGGAATTTCATCAGTAAAGCTGCCAAGTAAAAGAGGGATTAACTTGTGAAAATAAGAGTATCTGTCTCGTAGGTGCAACAACCATTCTCCAATGACAGTTGTTACAGCATGCCGTACCTACAGGGAGACAAAAAAACTATTTTAAAGATATCAGGAAAACTACAGAAAAATATTAAAAACAATATTTGCTTTCTGTATATAAGATGTGAAGCACATCAATACTCTCAGAAGAAATTACGAGAACCTAGCATTTCCTCACTGGCAGGAAGCATCTTAAGGAACACACAAGGAATCACATTCTCATTTTTCGCTCTGGCTTAATCAGTCTTAGACTGTTTGCTGCACAAAAGCACAGCTCTGAGAGGAAGACAAGATACAGACCTAACTCAGAAACCTAAATTCTGATGGCTAATTCCTTCCTGAGAATGTAAGAAATGTGCATTTCTCTGGAATTTGTAGCTTTCCAAGCACATCTCCAGAAGAAAATCTTCTCTGTTCACTACAAAGGAAAGATTAATTTTAAAACCACTGTTCCAGTTGCATCTTATAAAAGGACCCATACCATGTTAAGCATCTGAAAAGGCCAGAGAATCAAGGCCCAGAGAGATGTGACAAAGAATTTAAGACAGAATTGAAGGCACACATTAGAACAAAAAGGTGCCTACAATCCTCAGCACCCTGCTGAATTAGACAGCAGTCACCAGCATTGGTTTGGGATAAATTACAGCTGACACAGGCTGGGTGGGACACTGTCCTGAATGAAACATTGTCCTGGTTTCAGAGTTCATCTTAGCAGCTGGTATGGTGCTATTTTTTGGATTTAGTGTGAGAACAATGCTGATAATACACTGATGTTTACTTGTTGCTAAGCAGAGTTTACCCTAAGTCAAGGACTTCTGGGTGTCTCAAGCTCTGCCAGTGAGGAGCTGCACAAGCTGAGGGAGCAATGCCAGGACAAGTGACATGAGCTGGGAGTGAGCAAGGGGCTGTGTGGTCCTTAATTTCCATCTGGGATTAAACCACAACAGACATATTTACACATCTCAGCTGAATGCAAGACAGCTGAAAACGGGGGAAGCAGGGAGAGAAACACCAAGAAACCCACCCCGTGGGGATGAGTTTTAAACAGATTTAAAATAAATGCCAAGAGAAGAAGGAAGAAAAGCACACCTTGGGAATCTCATCAAATAATCTCTGGGCCAGATGAGACAGGACATCATCCACGGACTTTCCATTCCCAAACTGTATCACTGCTCCAGTAGCCTGAATCACATCAACACGAACTCTGTAGTGTTGGTGGGAAATTGTCTGCATTAGGGGTTTTATCAGAGACTCTGACTGCATATGGAAGTGCTCTGTTAGGGCAGAAAGATAGAAACATCAACCATGTGAGTTGCCATAGTGGGCAGGATCCCTGACCATGGTAGAGGGTTGGAACTAGATGATCTTTAAGGTCCCTTCAAACCCAAACCACTCTCTGATTCTATGTAGCACGGATATATCCATGACATCCCATAGTTGTTGGGGCCAGCAGTACCAGATGATTTGGGATGGATTTTGGGGGGGCTTAAAGCTGTTCCATAATTCTCTTTTTTTCTCTATGTGGGTGACAGATCTGGAGCAACATGATTTCTGTACCACTACGAACAGCAGCCTGACTAATGTTGCTGTGTTTATGTAGCAGGCAGCTGTAACTTTATACAGTATCAGGGCTGAACACTGCCCACTCATCCTCCCCTAGCCCCTCCTCCTGCTACTCCCAACACCTAACAGCTCAGCCTACACTCCTGCCATGGTTCTTCTCCGACAGATCCTCCAAACCCTGCAAAGCATACCTGTGTGCGACCTCCCATCGCTGTCCTGCCTGCATCCCTGTTCCCTTCCTCAGCCCCCATCACATCAAGCCAGCGCTGCCCATCCATCCCTCAGCCCCACCTGGCATGGCCCGGGCGCAGGCCACGGCACAGCTGCAGCTCTCCCGCCTGACCTCGGCATAGTGGTCGAGGAGGGTGGCCTGGAGGATGCGGGCGATGTCGCCGAGGTAGGGGGCCATGGAGGCGCCGCAGCGCTGTAGCAGGAGGCCCAGCAGCTGCACCAGGCCGAGCCGCAGCTCCTCGCTGGGCTCCGCGCCCTGCGGCGGGCAGAGCCGCTGGGCCAGGGCCGGCAGGAGCACGGGCAGCGCCTCGCAGGGCCGCTCGCCGTGGCTGAGCCCGTGGCGGAGCAGCTCCAGGGCGAGCTCCCGGCACCGCTCCGCCGCGTCCCCCGCCAGGCAGCGCGACAGCGGCCGCAGCAGCCGCGCCGCGAACACGTCCTGCAGCACCGCGCCCGGCAGCGGCCGGCCCTGCAGCTGAGCGCGGATGTCCTCCAGCGCCCGCAGCCGCGCCGCCCGGCCGCAGTCGGACTGCTGCAGGAGGCTCAGGGGCCGGGCCAGCGCCTGCGACAGCTCGGCCGCCGCCTCGGCCGCCGCCATGTTCCGGCACCGCGTCGCCAGGGACGCGTGGGGCGTTTGCGACGGCGGGTGCGCGCTTTACGGCTGTGCCGGGCAACGCGCGGGTGACAGCGCGGAGAGAGGGACCGGGACAGGGACAGGGACAGGGACTGGGAACGGGAACGGGAACGGGAACAGGGACTGGGAACGGGAACGGGAACGGGAACGGGACAGGGACGGGGAACGGGACAGGGACAGGGACTGGGAACGGGAACGGGAACGGGAACGGGAACGGGACAGGGACGGGGAACGGGACAGGGACTGGGAACGGGAACGGGAACGGGAACGGGACAGGGACGGGGAACGGGACAGGGACAGGGACAGGGACAGGGACAGGGAACGGGAACGGGACAGGGACGGGGAACGGGACAGGGACAGGGACAGGGACAGGGACAGGGACAGGGACAGGGACAGGGCAGGGTGCCCCGGCAGAGCACAGGGAAGCAGGCGGGGTCCATGGGGTCGAGCCGGTACCGGCAGCACGGACCCGCTCTGTGTCACACGGTCAGCAAGCGGAGCGAACCCGGGAGAAGCCCGCGAGGGTGCGAGGGCTGAGGGGAACGGGAAGGCGACAGCACCGGGGGCTCCGAGCCCGGCCACTGTCACATGTATCACTGCCCCCGCTGTTTCTTCTCTGGAGGCATCAAACAGCACGGGCAGGAAACCGTCAGTTTCTGTAACAGCGTTGTATTCTTTTTAGTGCTTATTTGTATTATCTAATGTGTATATACATTGCGTTTATGTCCTTATGTGTACTTTACACAACCTCGTGTTTTGTATTCTCTCTGGTGACTACATGGAGCAGACATCAAACCAAAAGGAAAGGATGCTCAGGGTCCTTTTCTTGAGTGATCGCGCTGAATCTGAAGTGCAATAAACTACAGAACTAATTCAAATTATTTTTTTAAAATAGCCATGTGTTTACCAGCAGAGTTTATTCTCTTGTGCTTCTCCTAGCTTGACTGTGATCTTTTGGAGTCCTGTTTCACAGTTTATTCTATGCGAACCACGAATGTGAATTTCCTGGCAACAGAAGGAATACAAGCATGCATTGGAGTATTCCTGACAGCATGTGCTGGCCAATGACTAAATCCCAGCTGTGACCACACTCCTTGCACAGAGGTGCTGCTGGGTGTGCTGGCTTTGCTCTAAATACCCAAGGCAGAGCTGCTCTTCCCAGCCCTTCCCGAGCTGTGGGTGCTCAGCAGGGCTGGCAGCTCCCGTGCCACAGACAGCCTGTCCTGCAAGGCCAGCTCATCATCCATGGTGGTCAGGACACGTTTCATGGCCCAGCTTATCCCCGGTGCCTGGCCGGACCATGTGTCACAGCCAGGTTATGGCCTTCATGGCCATGTCCATCCTTCATGGTCTGGCCACTTCAAACTCCCCGACTGTCCTTCATGGCAAGGCCTGTTCTTAACAGCCAGACCATGGTCCATTGTGGCCAGGCTCGTCTTCCTTCACTAGCCTGTCCTCAGGCTGGTGGTGCAGAGGAGCCAGGCCAGGTCCTGCCATCCCCTGTGGGTCCGTGCAGGGCAGAGGGGGTCAGTACGGGATAGTGCGGGTCACAGAGGTGCACAGTGGGTCAGTACAGGCAGAGAGATGGAGAGCGGGTCAGTGCGGGGCAGAGAGATGCAGAGCGGGTCAGTGCGGGGCAGAGTGGGTCAGTACAGAGAGTACAGTACAGAGAGATGGAGAGCGGGTCAGTGCGGGGCAGAGAGGTGCGGAGTGGGTCAATACGGGTCAGAGAGATGCAGAGCGAGTCCGTGCGGTGCGCTTCGAACCGGGCGGGTCTGCGCTGTCCGGAGCGGATGGGAGCGAAGGGGTCCGTGCGGCTCGGAGCGCAGGGCTCGCTGCGGAGCTGTTCGGAGCGGAGAGGTCGGTGCCGCCCGGACCGGAAGGGTCGGTGCCGCTCGGTTCGGAGCGGAGAGCTCCCTCCGTGCGGCCGCCCGGCGGAGGCGGCGGTGGAGGCCGCGCCCGCCGGTGAGTGACGGCGGCGGCACTTCCTGCGGGCGAGCGGCGGCGGAGCCGGAGCCTTTGTGCGGGAGCGGGAGGAGGGTCCCCGCGGCGCCCCGCGGCCCCGGGCGGGCGGGCAGCGGCGGAGGCGGCGGCGGCTGCAGTGCGGTACCGGCAGGGGAGCCGCTTCCCCCGCCTCCACCTCCGGCGAGGACAGAGCAGGCGCCGCCGCTCAACCGGCTCCGGCCGCCAGGTATTTACCGGCCCCTCCGCTCCCCGGGCCCGGCCGGGCGCGGAGCCGTGCGGAGGGGCAGGGGGGACAGGGACAGGGACAGCGGCGGCAGAGCCTCTGGGATCGGCAGGGCCCGGGGGATGCGCTGGTTCGGGTTCGCCCGGCCGGGCCCGGGGCGCTTCCCCGGCGCTCGGAGCCTCCCGGGGCCCGCCCCGCACAGCCCCGGCCGCCCCCCGGCATCCACAGAGCCGGGCAGAGAGCCCGGGGCCGGGGTAAAGCTGCCCTGCCGTTCTGGGCTCCTAACGGAGCGCTCATAACCTCGCTGGGGGAAATAAAGAGCGTTTGGGGCTGTTCTCCCCCCAGGTCATCCAACTTCCCTTTGGGGAGCTCACTTCCCTTCGGGGGGCTCTGCCCGCTCCTCCCCAGCTTCCCCGGGGCCGCGAAGGGTCGCTGGCTGGGAAAGGGAGAGATGCTAAAATTGCCCAAAGATCTCTGTAGCAAAAAGCTGGGTTTCTGTTGACAGGAGCGGGTCCCCACGGGGAGAGCAAAGCAAGGTTTCACGCCGTCATTTAATAGTGTCTCTGAAACTCCTTGCCTCGTAGGGTTAATTTCACCGGTTTGTTTATTTGTTTTTTTTTGGTTGTTGTTTTTTTCGAAGAGTGATCATTATCTAGGAGTTAAAATCATCTTTGTGTACTTGGTGGGATGTTGATAATACGAAGATGACACAGTTCAGCATTTCCACTTACAACCTCAGAACATTAAAACGTTCAAATTCAATAGGTCCTCAATAGGCAACAGGCAATATTGAAATGTCTTTGCTCTTCAGATCTCTCTGACAAAGGAATTGGGAACTGTCTTTTATCTCTTTCTCGCACCATTTTCTTACCTAGGTTGTGTTTTCTGTTTACAAGCCTGAAGATGGCTGCTGCTGCTTCCTGCAATGTGGAAGAAGATGAGAGCCTGAAGGGATGTGAACTCTATGTTCAGAAACACAACATCCAACAGATTTTAAAAGAATGCATTGTAAACCTCTGTATAGCAAAGCCAGACCGACCCATGAAGTTCCTCAGAGAACACTTTGAAAAATTAGAAAAGGTCAGTGATTTTCAGGTGACTTTACATTTTCCATTTATAAAATGAAAAAGATTGTTTAAAGATTTCAAATGTTTTGGTACATTTTTTTTCTTTCAAGTTTTAAATGATCACACAACTGTGAAAATGCAAACTGTTAAGAGAATAAAGCCCCAACCCTTCATTTGTGGGTGTCTACTATAACACTGGCTATAGTTTAGAATTTTTTTGTGCGTAACACCAAGATTATAATATCTCATCAAACTGCACTTGTTAAAAATGACCCAAATCGGTTGTGAGGAATGATATCCTGAACTTTCATCTCTCTGCAGAACCTGCCTGTGGATGCAGAAGGTGTTGTTTATTTCAGTGTCAGGGGGTGAGGTTTTCCCTTCCCCTGAAACTGACGGAAATCAGAGAACCAGCAAGTTCTCAAAAATCATTAAACAGTTTGCTATTTAATTCCACTGCTCTCCTGTGCCTGTCCCAGGATCCTGTGACAGGGGATGCATTCACTTGTGACTGTCTTCAAAAGCATTGTAGAGAGGGGGAAACATTTTAGAACATTCCCAGACAAATTCTTTCTAAAGCCTAGGGGTGTCTTTGCAGGAAGAGCACATTGTGTGAGCAAGTGTTGTTGTAGGCTTGAGAGATAAGGTTTAGTAATTTCTTCCTTCAAGAGTGAATAATACATAAGGCTGATATATCACCAGTGATGTAAAATATTTAATACATCTCACTCTCTGCTTTTCAGATACATTTTTCTGTAGGTGAGTATATGCCAAATTTGTGTAGTTAAAATAAATGCAAACATTGCATTTTGGTGGCAGCCTGGGATATCAGAGAGGGATAGAAAGTACAAGATAGTTTTTAATTATATTTGATTATTATGAAAAAGAAATGATCTCTTAATTATTCAT